TTTATTGATTTTATTAATTATCTGATAAGACGGTAATGCTATTTTATTTTAACGAGATAGTTAGAGCAAAAAATTATAATTATAAATACAAGTCGGACATCATTTTTGGTGTCTAGCGCGTGATGTTGTATAATACATTCTTTTATCTTTAAAACTTCTCAATTTTTCATTTACATATACAGTGAAAGTATTAAATTAAACTTGGCGAATAAAGTTTTGTATTAAGTTCCCATGATTTTCAATTCTGAAATATAAAAATAATAAAACTGCTTAAAACATATTGAACTCCAAGAATGTGTTTTTTTTGTTGGTTATACTATCACTAGTTGTTTTTTTAAAATTAATTTTGTATTAATTAATGTTTTATTTTTTATTTTTAGGTATACAATTTATATTTATAATAATTAATAACTAATTCATTACAGATTCATTTTTAGCGACTAGTGTAGTTTTAGTTTATTATATTTATATTATACTCTAATGTAATGATAATTGTATTTTAAATGTTTGATTTAATTTAACTTTTACGATATATTTTGTATTTTATAAATAAATTATAATCTATGTATTATATATTAAACGATATGTATGTATGCTGATCACATTGTAGATTAGCTAATTAATCACGAACCTTCAAAATCTACAATAGGTATAGTGTATTTATGTTAAAGTATAGAGCGATGAAGTAATCGTCCTACATGTAGAGGAGTTTGGCCTGTTTATTATTAAGTACTAAACTTACGATAGAATGAAATTCCGTAATGTTCCCTTGATTTTCAGTATAATTGCTTAAGTTAGTCTATTAATAGTTATTAGTAATATACTTATGTTTAATATGCGTCCATAGAATTTAAAAATTAATCAACAATTTACAACAATATTTTAACCGTTAGCAGTACGGCCTAAGTAGGAATTTAAAACGACAAATTTCTCATTAATATTATTTAAGTCTATTTTCATAAAAGTATGAAATAAATTAAATTTATTATAACAGATGTTAGTAATATCGAGTGAACATCATTAAATTGCGGTTTTATTAAATGTTAAAGCTTTAAGGGTAGTTTTTACTTTGTATTACGGAAAATAAAAGGGGATACTTCTTTTTATAGTTTTATTTTGTAGTGTAAAATGTAAACTTTAATAGGTTAAAGGGTCATTGCCGCCGTTCTTATAAGAAATGACCCATTTATAATTAACCCACGGCTATAACATAATATTATGAACATAATTTTGAAAATAAATTACTACGACTACATTCATAGTAAAACTATTAAACATTATTAAGGTTTTTCAGGCTCGGTGACTGTTAACTTTTTATGTTATTAGACTTAAGTCGTGTGGACGGGAATGGGTAATGAATGAGAATTGGATTACCGAAAACCGGAGAGGCGTGTATGCAAAAAGTACGTAATATGCAAAAAAAAAAAAGAAAAATTGCCCACAGGTAGAATAACTAATTAGCTGGGCGTGGTCGTACGGGTGGAGGGGGGGGGAGAGGTATGGGTACCATTGATGATGTTGGTGGCGTTGGCAGTGGAGTTTCGTTCGTTTGCCGTCATCATCAAAGAAATCGATGGAGGTCTTGCACAGTTAATGAGTATGGCGGACCCGGGGAAAAAGAAACACACAGACACAGAGGGTGTTTAAAAGACGCGCGCGAGAGAGACTAAAAAACACAAAGTAAATATACATATCTATATACGTAAGTACGCGCGTGGACGACGGGGGTGGGCAGAGTGTATGGGCGGCGGCCGGGCCATACGTGGAGGAAGTTAGGGGACGTGAATATTGATGAGTGCGCCCCTCGCCATCGTCCGCCTTCCGCCCGTCACGTTGCCTCCACCTCACCGGCGTTCCGCAGTCATTGCGGAATCTTATTATCTGGAAAACAGAAAGAAAGAATGAGTGGGTGAAAGTAAGCGAGAGAGAAAGAGCGAGCGAGTGGATTGAAGAGGAAGCGATGTGCGACAGAGGGAGAGAGAGAGAGAGAAAGAGGGGAGATTTATATGTTGGATGAAAAACAGTGCGAAAAAGAGAAAGAATTAGCAAAGGCCCGACGATATAGGACAGAGTGGTGTGGGAGCATCGGTGTGCGGCGGGCAGGGGAGAAAGAAAAATGTGAAGTGTTTTAATAAGTAGAGACAAGAAAACGTTTATGTGTATACGTGTGTATTGGAAACAAAGGGTTTTTTCTTCTTCGATGTTTGCGCCTTAAAAGTGTTTTTTTATTATAGAGAAAGACTTGACGAAAAACAACACTCCGCTGAACAGCTCTTATTGTAATCAACAAACGTTTTATATAGATACCATTATAATAGTGTTTGTAATGAAAAAATAAGAATATACACAATGTTTAAAAAGTTTGTAGACTGTCGATTTTCATAACCGCTTCAGAATTATTTTTATTTGAATTTTTACATCATATGTATCTTACTAGATGTAACTTTACACACATTTCAAACCTAAATCCCAAGTTAAACCTTCAAGTAGTTTGCACATTGGTACTATCAAATAATGAAATTCAAATTAGAATTCACAAAAGCAATTAATAAAAAAAAATAAAAAAAATTGGAATTCTAATATTTTTCGAGATATTCTGTTAGCAATTAGTATTTTGAAAAAATAACATTGCTTTATATGCTTGTATAATTGTTCAAAAGTTATTTAAAAAGTACCTTTACAAAAGTTTTTGTCAAGGTATATGTATATTCAAATGGATAATTTGGTGTAGTTTTATAAAATAAGTTTAGTTTAATATCTGAACATGTATTTAAAAAGAAAATATTCAACAAAATAGAATAAAATTGTTAAGATGTCATTAAATTTTTTTTTTGAAAAATAAAAATTTGGTAATTTATTGCTAGACATCAGTGAATTTAGAGAGGTTTAAGTAAAACCAGTTTATTTTTAATTTTTATTAACCATAATTGATTATGTTAAGTTTAAAAATAAATTTTTATATGAACGGATGATTAGAATTTGAACTTGAAACTCTTAGGTATATAGCTGATCATTTTTTTTGGTGAGTTAAAACATGTTATGATATATTTTGATTCATTCGATCGTAAAATTTAGCACGTCATGCTTTCTGTTACCTAGAATGCATTTTTGTTTCTTGGAATTTGAACGGGCTAGTAACCTTTAAACGTTTTATCAATACTTTATCAATTTTACCGATACATTCATTGTGTATTAATCATTTTAGCAAATAAAATAAAAAAACTATCTAAGAATAAGTATGTAGATTGTTTATGTTATACATTGTATGCGCGGCCGGAAACAAAATGTTCTCTACATCAAATATTATAAACCTATTGTACATATTCTTATTCTTATTATAATTACTTAATTTTTTATCTTAATTTATTCGTGTATGGAGAAATATGTTAGTTATGACTTAGTTCTATTTCTATTGTATCTATATAATATCTGTTATCCACATTGTAAATTGGACTAACTGTCCGTTATTTAAAAAATAAAATAAATATAAATGATTATTAGCTTACAGTAGTTATTGTAGTGATATAAAAACATTTTAACTAATAGTTAAAACAATTAATTTCGTATGGCTTTTAATTCCGAAATGTGCTGTAAATTTTATTTTTCATATACTAACTTTATACTGTTAAATTATTTTTATTTAATTATCTCATACTGCAAAATCTGTTACTTAATATTTTCAAGAAATTTGTGTTTAAAAACCATATTTTAGCAGGAGATTAAATGTTATTTATATATTATTAAAATATTATCACAATACTTAAACAATAGTTTTTAAATGTTTGTTTTTTGTTAAAATTTAATCTTCGCTAAAACTTGGCTTTAAAAAATGAATAAACTTTTTGACAATATCATATTTTATTCTTCTATGGGTTATTAAATAAATGAAAACAATATTTATGATTTTAAATGTATGTTTTATGACACAAACTAATATTGTGTAACTACTTGAATTTAAAAATTATATATAAAGTTATTATTTAGGAAATATATTTTTTACATGATTATGTTTGTTAAAAACCTACATACCAAAAACGAAAAAAAAACATTACTCACAACTTCTATAAGGGAAAGGGCTTGATGGTTGGTGGTACTAACCGTCTACTGTACTGCTTTATCTAATGAATGCCATCATTCAAACTTAGAAGGAATTAAACTTTTTTGAATAAGATTACAGATTGCTCAATTTTGAAGTGCAAGAAGTAAAAAGTTCAGCTGTTAGTTACATAAATTAAATTTTTGACAAACAATTTTTGATTTGTTAACAGGCTACTTGAAAAAAGCTTTCCGGATAGGTTAAATATATCTGAGGAGTTCATTACGACATGAGAAGTAATAATCTTAATATTTAGTAACAAATTTAGTATACGCATGTATGATTGCGATCTATTTAAATGACTCGTTTTATTCTTAATATCGTTAATACATACAAATAATATTTAATTTTTATAGCTTCAGTTCTTAATAAACCATAAGTATTTATTGTTGAAACGAAGATAATTTATTCACAAAATCTGTTATAACTAATATATAATACTGATCAAATATACAATGGCATAATATTACTATGAAAAACGGCATGTACTTTTATTAAGTACAACTACTCTATCATAGCAAAAATAAAACATTGAACCTGAAATGATTATTACAGAATAAATAGAATAATATATAGAGTATTGATCTAAAAGAAATGGCCTAATAAGCAAAAACGTATAGGCATGTATTGCAATTTTTAATTAATTATTGATACTTATATGATGTAATGCAATGCATTAACTGAGTTGGTAATTATAATGTGATATGGAATTGTTAATTTATAATATGCGAAATTGAAATATACATACTGAGAATGTTGACGTCAGCCAATGGAAATTGACCTCTTCGTTGTGTCGACCTAGCCTGGGTTTTTTCTTTCCACTCCATTTAAAAAACTCAGGTGGTCGGTGTGTACCAAATGAGAGTTCAAGTATTCAATCGTATCAGCTAAATACGATGACTATATAAGTCGGGTAAACGGTCGGATATGATCAGTACGAGACGAGTAGATCATTTGTTAATATTAGTTGATCACTGTTGCAGCCATCTACTCATCAAAATGAACGGAAAATTCGTTTTGTGCATTGCCGTCGTCTTGGTCGGACAAGTAAGATACATTTATTATTTGTCATTTATTTATTCGTGTAGTACCATTAACTAAATATGATTATATTTAGTTAAATTCTATTTAGAATTGTTTTAAAAGTTAATATTTTTTAATAATTTAAATCGGTGTTGTAACGTTTTGATTTACAATTGGTATTTTAATTTGTTTTAAATAAAAAAACAAACTATGTAGAATAAATAAATTTATCAATTTTATTACTTTCTAAGAGAGAACAGAAAACGTAGCGTCTTACATTAATATTAAAAATGTTTAGGCCATGTCCGCCTCGTTATTCGACGGAGAAGAATTGAAGAAAATTGTCGAACAATTTTCCCAATCTAGTCTGTCAGTTAGCCAGCACGTGTCAGAATTAGTCGGAGTCACCCCCAACTCTGATACCCAAAAGATCATCGACAACTATAAGACATACATTACTAAGGGAACCAGTGACGTAAGAATACAATATATTTTACATTATCTATTAGTGTTTAACTATGAGCACCTATAAATTGTACTTTCTGAATCAAAGCTATTAGGTTGCCTTCAATTATAGGAAAATAATATTTACTTTGCTGTAATGTGTTTCGCAGTTTGAAGCTGAACTTAGCAAGTTGAGAACTATCCTACTCAAAAATGCCGACCCAAAAATCGCCGAGAAGATTGATGAATACGAAAAGGACTTGAAGAAGTACGTCACCGAAGCCAAACAATATATTGATGATAAAGTAGGCAAACCGATCAATGATAAATACAAGAACGACATCAAAAAAGTTACCGACCAGATCATCAAGGTCACCAAAGATGCCGAAGTATGTTTATTTCAATTACATTAACAATACTTTTTTTAATCATAATAATTTTCAAGTATAGGCTGCAACTTGTAAACCTGGTATCTAATTTGTTAAGTAAAAAATAAATATAAAACGTAGAAATATGGAAATAACTATTAGTTTTTATAAATCAAATTCATATAAATTTACATGCTAAAACTAATAGCTCTTTTTTTATTTCAGAGTACCGTGAACAAAGCCATCGACAGCCAGAAGAAAAACTAAATAATGTATAATTACAAACCGGTATTTATTTTATAAAAATCATTCACGAATTTAGTTTTATCATACTAGACATATTATTATTATTTCCTCGCTATTGTAATACCTTTAATAAAATGTTTTAAATTAAATCATGTCACGATATCATGACTTATACACATGGTTTTAACACTTTTTTAGTATTTTTTAAAGAAATAACTATAATATACAACTCATAAACAAGACAACACATCATTTTATAAATATACAATATAATGTGATATTTTTAGTTAATGCCAAGAACTATACGTATTTAAAACTAATCTCAATGATATAGTTTATATTTGTTTACAGCTAAATAAAAATGTATCTGAAATGCAATATTTAAAGTATAAATTTAGTGATGAGTAGGTTATGAGCTGAAGGTTATAAGTAGAAAACCTGGTATAAATAATACAGTTGGAGTATAGAATGAAATAATCAGAGAAAACATTTAATGTAAATTATTAGTATAGCTTAACTCATTTGTATAAAATTAGGCGAAGATTAACAATATTTAAGTTAAAATTAAACTAAAATTATAAAGAGTGTATCGCCATGGACTTGTAGATTTCAGAATATTTTGAATGCAATTTTGTTATATAATCATAATACACTATATGAACTACTTTATATGCCTACCTATGGTATTGATATTTTTGGTATGTCAACGCATATTAATTATACTCTGTCTGAAGAATATTCCATACAAATTTGGAATTAATTTTAAAGAAGGGTTAGAGCGATATAATTTTTAGTTAACAATTATGTAAAGGTGAACTTTTAAAATTTTAAGTCCTATAAAGTACCTTTCAAGTACGATTTCTGCACTATATAGTGGCTACATGGAAAAAATCAGTTGAGCAGCTTAGAATATATAGTAGGTCAATTTTTTTTCGGTTTACTGGTTTTGAGGGTGGAGGAGTTGACTTTTTCTACTTTTGACCAACCAAAATAATATAATTTGCATACTATTTTGGATCTGTAAAGGCGCTACTCGAGTAATTCAGTCCACAAGAAAAAAGCTATCATGTCAATAGACACAAAAAAACACATGAATATAAAATCAATACTATCTTAGCTATTGAATAGAAGCTAAAATCAAATATGGCTGTGAAAATAGACACTTTACAAACTCATTGAGCACCCTATATATTTTCCAAAAAGAACACTTCTGAAATAATTTTAACGGAAGCGTTTTAGGGCAAGCGATTTATGTGCTAAACATTCAAAAATGGTTGTTTCAAACCAAAGTGATCTTGAAACGCTAATGCAGCGCGCATTGCTATTAGTATTCGAACGACCTTTATTTATACAAATACTGGCCGATCGCGTTGGCATCAATTATCCAATTTAGCCCATCTGAACAATTCTTTTTTAATTTTCCCGAAAATTGAATTTTGGCACTTAGATCACTTTGCCCTGGAACGTTCAAATATTCGACAGCGGTTATAAAATAGTTGAATTTCGTACTTTTATAAACTAACTTTATTCAACAGACTAAATCAACCCCTCGGGACACTCCAATTAACGCCGTTAGCAGTAGGCGAACTGTGACTATTCAAGTTTTTTGCTCTTAGTTTTCAGATCTTCTATTTTAGTTTTTTAATAATTAATTGTATAGTATACCCGTTGTGTTTTTTAAAACAAATAATTGAATATTGTGTTAAATTTTTTTGTTATGAAACTTTTTAATGACCGCAGAATTGTAAATTAAGATAGAACTGAAGAATTTTATGGTTAGTAAATCAACTAGTATAAATATATATATGAAATGAATAGTTAACTACTATTGCACTTGAATCAATTATAATAGTCTATTCTTTATACGGTCAATAAGATTGAATTAAATGAGAAAATCTTCCATAATTACAATAATTTACATAATTTTGCATATTGATTAATGTTTAAAATCGTTAAGCGTTATATTTTATTGTTAATTAATAAATATGATGTCAGCGACGTAAAGAAAATTAAAAAAAAAAATTAAACATATTAACATACCATAATAATCAGAATCTATTTTTAGTAGTCGAGTTGCACGAAATGTTTAACTACTGTTCAACAAAACCACGAAGTCAAATACAAGTTATTATTTTGATACAAACACGTAAATTATATGCTAATTCCGATAAAAATAAAACAGAAACAACATTACATTTGTTATTTTAATAAATTATACTCCTGATTCATGAATTTAAATTACTATTTCTATTTTAATGACTATAACTTAATTGTTTGTCTATTTATATTTATTCAATGTTCGTTTTAGAATAGAGTGTATAACATGAATTACAATATTTGATAAAAACCAATATGATAAGTTTGTGACCTAGTGTTTTTGTTCTAATTAGATATTAATATGTAGAAAGCAGAGAAATATAATATTATTACCGACACTAACAAGAGTTTGCTTAAATGTTTATAAGTTTCCTGCTCAAGTTAAAAATTTTAAAGGGTTAAAAAGAATTATTGAGGACAATAGTAGTTTGATAAACGTTCATCGTACAAAATGCAACGATATTTGGCATTAATACTTATTTTTACTTGTCTTTATTTGTTATTTGATTTGAATTAATTACGACTAGTGTGTAACGGTTTTAAATTGAATTACTTATCCTCTAACGGGCTTTAGAAATAGTTTGCATTAACCTCTGCTACTGTGTAAGCTGTAATCAGTGTTTAATAGCTTGGACACTAAAATAAAAAATCGAACTACCACTTTTACGATAATGACTTTTAAATTCTAGTGTGTATATAAAAATAAATAAAATATATTGATTATTTCGCAGTCTAGGAGGTTAGTGAAAAAAATGTAGTATTGAAAGGGTTAAAACGATCATGGTAAAGGGATTGAGAGTTACTACTTAGTAACAGATATAAGAAGTAGTGTGTGGAATTGATAAGTATGTGGTGTGTAGAGTAAACAAAGAAATTTCGCAGAGAGCAAAAAAAGAGAATAAAGGGTTTATTTAATCATTTCTTAGAAAAAAACTTTAAAGTTAGGGACAATCTTAAGAAGTTCTCACTATTTCCTTTACAGCCAAAGAAACTAACAATAAATAAGATTTTCAAAATTTTAATTTGATCACCAAAAATACTATATTTTATAAAAATTCTTTTCGGGAGTATATTTTTTAAAAAATGCCTCTATGATGACTAAACATCAGAATCATCTCATTTGTAAAAAAGTAAATTATTTTTTTTTTGTTTAAATTATATTATATTCTTATAGTTATTGTTTATTAAATGTATTTAATGCTACATATTTTTGTAATAGGAATATAATTAAAATTTGGTGGATTAATTTGCTTAAGAAAACATTTTGGTGACATATTTAACATTTATACCTCTATTAACAATTATATTACATTTTGTCGCTCGTTATTATTTTTTTTAAGTACAAGTTTAGATTTTTAAGTATATAGCTTTGTTTAAAAATATGTGTTGTTGGAGATAATGGAAATAAAATAATTGTATTTACTGTTTATTGTGTTTCCCTTAGTGCGTTTAGTTTTTCTTAACTTAAAATATTTTTTAAAGTAAGTACATTTTCGACACAAAAACAACAAATGTCAGTAAACTCTGCAGAGAGTAATTCAAAATGTTATGTAAATACAAACCAACTCTTCAGCGTACTGGCATATTTTAATCGATAAATAGGTATATAATGCACTATACTTATAGCTTTGATGTTAAGTTAAAAAGTATTGATTATGGAATGAAGAGTGTCGGAAATGTCAAAACATTTAAAGAATTTTGATAAGTATGATAATTGCTTTTATGCATACATTCAAGTTTTAGCTTTTAAATTTTAAATATGAAAATTGACTTTTGTGAAAATTGCCAATCTGGAACTCCTTTAAAATTGTATGTAATGAGTCCTCTAAAATTTAATATTATCCAAAATTTAACTAAATTACCTAAAAAGACTAATGCATTTTTTAGTTATTCCTTAATATTTATTTTTTTTAGTTTTTGTAACTTATAAAATTGTGTTTTTTAATTATTTAGTACATTCATCAAACTATCTAAGTCACAAACATAAATTATATATATATTTTTAATTTCTCCGCATCCACGCAATACATGCATTTATCTTTTATTTTTAGGTGTACTTTTCAATGAAAGAGCTAAAATGTATTAAATGAATTATTAAAAACAAATTATTATAGTTAAATTAGGATGTTGTGTTTTAAAATTAATCTTAATATGTTAGCTACGAAGCGGAGCTCAGAATGTTATGACAGCGTTGCCATTATTATGTATACTGTTTGTGTTTTTACTGTTGTAAATCTTAGAACATTTTAGTTGCATGATTTCTATAACTTCTGAGAGTTTGTTCCGGTTCTTTAATAATATAATGAAGTGTACACTGTACCTATTTCGATTACAATTTCAAATGTGAAAACAACTCAGAAACATAATAGGCTTTATTAATCCGATTGTAGTTTTTGGGTTGTTGAAAACTCCCCTGACTGTACCATTTTATCCGGTGGGTCAAGGGATCACCGTCAATTTTGTTTATTAATTTGTTTTTCAGAAATTTACAAACAAAAAATGTCAAGATTTCCTCTTCTTAAATATAAGAGAATGTTAAAAAATGAAGTTTTATAAAATAAATATAGCTATATTAAAAGTTATAATTAAAATTGTCGTTTACAGGTTTCTAGTCAATAACTTATATTTGTTTTTTAGCTGATCTTTGGCGTCTATAATCCGTATGGTCAGTACAACATACCTAAATATAAAATATCAGATGGAGGCATCCATGGATTGTTTGAAAAATTATTTAGCGGTTAGCGCATTAAATATATGCTAACCACTTATCCGTGTAATCTTAGATCGAAACCAAAAATGTGATTCGCGTGATTTATGATGTTAACTGTTTCAAGCCCGATGATTAGTTTGAAATCGACGTGTTTGCCATTCCTAAAATGAATTCACCCCTCCTTGCACGCTTAAATATGTATGTAAAATCATAGTAGGCACTACTATGCACGCTGGTCGTATGGTGTACGAGTATCGGTTTGAAATGATTATGTTTTTCTCGGATGGCATTGCACGAAATTTATAAGCATGACGCTGCGGTCGTTTTTATTCATTGTGTGCTTGGACGATTTTTCCTTATTTGCTTT